ACCAGCTTCCAGCAGTTTCCCAGCTGCCTCACTGCCAATGCTCGCCCTTCTCTTGTCTACTGACAGGCTTTATATCAGCTGAAAAAATATATATAATGTTCTATGTCGCTATTTGGCTTTAAATTTTATTAAACCTTCTGGAGCCATGCCTAGTGCTTGCTAGAGTTTCTGATACTATCTGTATAGTCTTTAGGTGGAAGCTGGAAATCTCCATTGAACTTCTGTGGTAATAAAATTATTGCAGTTGTGCCCTACATCTGCTCACTGAACTTCCTGTGGGTTTTCACCAGATCACATGACTGACAGCAAAGACAGGCTGTAGAGTTTGGGTCTGCTTATTATATCCAAGTCTCCACCACCAGATCAGACCTCTGCTTTGTCTCTGCACTGGGCGTCCGGATGTCCCACTGTGGTAGGTTGATTCGCTGGAGCTGATAAAAACGTTCTGGCCACACTTGAGAGTCTAGCATTACCTCTGGCTCCAGAAATCAAAACAACAGGATTGTTGTAAGTAGCTTTGGACTGAGACCAAGCTCCATGTTTCAGAGATGAGTTTGCTCTCCGTATTGGACTAAATGACAGGACAAGGATCTTGGAGAGAGAGGAGTAAAAGCCAGAGCTTCACCACAGCTTCATGAGCTGAGGTACCCAGTCCCCTGGTTTGTGCTAGCCAGTGCCAGTTCCTGCCTTAACTGGTAGACCAGGGCCTTCTGCTCCTTCTTGAGCACCTCCCCTGCATTCCTAGACACCAGTAGTGCCCAGGGAATTGTCCTGGTGGGAATTTACAAGGTTGGTTCTGAGAAGTGTAATGGGAGGTATTGGTGAGAAGCAGTAGACAAGCAAGGCAGGGAAGTCCTAGGAGTGCCCGTGTGGCCTGTGGCTGGCCCTGGAGTGCCCAGGGGCGTGTTGGATGTGTCTGGGATGAAGGCTCTCCTGAGAGAGGAAGTTGGACTCCCCTGGGGGAGTCCACGGGATGGCATTATTGTCTTCCCCAGCTTGCAAAGGAACCTAAAGAGAGAAGGGAGCCTTTTTCTGGGTTGTTGATTTGACTTTCAGACATGACATTTCTTGGACTGAGTCCTGACAAAATGTGTCCCTAGCGTCCTGAGTGCTAAGTAAAACCTTTTGTCTGTCTTTTCCTTGGCTTTTTAGACTTCTCAGAGGAACATATGGTTTTAAGGATGTCTATTCAAGTCTATAACCAGTGAGACAGAAGGTCAATTGGGAGTTGGGGGGACAATTAAATGCAACCTGGGACCAGCTCGTGCAGCAGCTATGTTCATGTTCATCACGTTAGCTGAATACTGTGAACACTCATATGATTTATGTTCATTGTTTACCTTTTCAGAATAATCCTGGTACATTGGTCTACTCATTGGAGTAGAAAGGAAGCTCTTTACCTTGCACTTTCAAGTGTTAGCCTTGTACAGCCAAGCTAGAGAACAGCCTCTTGTTTTTCTTGCTGTTTGTGCTTCATCCCCTTCCTGAACCCTGTAAGTGCTGGTGAAAAGTTTCCAGCAGACAACCCAGGAAATAAGAGCTCACCACTCAGTGCTAGGGAGTTGGTGCTGTGGCCTCGGGGTCATGCACATGTGCTGTGTACGTGTCCAGGCAACTTTCCAGCAGTGACTCTGTGTTCATGTTGTACTGCCTCTGCTTGCTATGAAGTTCCTCCACAGACTTGGGATATGGTGGTTTGGGAGTCCCATCTGGAAAGGACCAGGCCTTAAATAGCCAGCATGGGCAGAGGCCAAGCTGGAAGCACAGCTTTCAAGCCACAGTGCAGCTCTTCAGTGGCTTCATGTTTTGTCTTGGTTAAAGCAGCTGGGAGAATTGGCCTCAAAGACCCCTAAGACTTCTGAGACTTACATTACCCACTGTGAAGGCTGCTGGACTGCAGGGCAGCATCAGGGTCTGGAGATGTTTAGACTTTACTACGGTCATCTCCAAAAGCCACATCCAGTTGGAATTGGAAGGCACTCTGAGATCTCCCATTCTATATCAAGTGATGAACCTGAGTTCTAGAGAAAGCCCATGGCATACCCCAACTACCCAGCCTGGTTTTCCCATCCCAGCCTGAACCGCCAAGAGAGCAAGGCCTGAATTTCAACCTGAGTACACTCAAGTATGGAGATGAAGTGACTATTGGCAGAGGGACCATGAAATCCTTGCAAGATATGGAATCTTGGCCGCAGTGCCTCTAGGAAGCAGCAGAGAGAGAGAGAAAAAGCCTGCTCCATCCCTCAGACTCCAACACTTCCTAGCTGGGGCCTTTTTGCCTTTTTACCTTGTCCTTGTCCTTGTTGAGCCTTGTTTCTTTTTCAGTGTGTGTGTGTGTGTGTGTGTGTGTGTGTGTGTGTGTGTATTTTCTGACTAGGTCAGCTTTGAACTGTGATCCTCAGATATCAGCCTCCTGAGTAGCTAGGATTATAGGCATGAATCACCAGCACCCAACTGAGTTTTGCTTCTAATCTCTGTAACAGAGTCAATAATCCCTGTAGCAGAATTATTATTGTGCAGAGAGACACAAAGCCGTTTATTAACTCAGTCATTTAATTCAGCAGTGGTTAATGATATTTCAGGTACTCATAAGGTTTCTATTTTCTTAGAGTCTGTATTCAAGGGTAGGGGATTGGTGGCATACAGTTAAAGAAATTGATAACCAAAATAAGCCCCAATTGTGGTAAGCAGAAGGCACCAGTTTTTACTCAAGAGATATGCCTTTCACATCCCACAGGGTGACCATTCCAGTCAAGTAAGCTCCTTGCTGGGTTGTCTCTCTGAGCTCCAAGCAGAAGAACCAGGACAGCCACAGCCACTGAAGCCACCTAGCCCCATGCATTTAGAGGATTAACTGCCTCAACTCTGGCTTCGTCTTGGATATTTCTGACTGTGCCACCTAATCTTATGGAAAAGTTGCAAATACCTGGATCATGATTTTAATGCTGCATACTTAGAAGTGACCCTCTGTTCCCATTGCCATTACCATAAACTCCCCTTAGGACCGTTCCCCTTGTTAATCAAGCCTACCTGGAAGACAAGAACAGAGGCAATTCTTCAGACCCTGTGCTTACTACAGTACTTGGCGCTCAGGAAATATCCGAAGAATGAATAAGTGAATGAAAACAGATGGGGCTAAAACTACCTGCTTTTTTGAGTTCTTGTTCCAGTTATTTCAAAGATTAAATGAGAAACTGTATGTAAAGTATTTGAATATGCCTGCTAAATGTAGATAATTATATTAGCTATGAATAGCTTAGCTATAATCTCAGACTTACTAGGTTTTTATAGAGAGCTTCTATAGAAATAATCATTGATCAGCTTGAAGAATAACTTCATAACAATATCTGCATGTATCTGCTATTGACAGATAGCTTATACTATTATATCCTTATGTACTGTTACATACTATGCATAGGATGTTCTTGCTATTCTGACCATCATATTCCCTTAGATTCTTGCCTACAATATCTAGAAGCCATGGTCGTTGCTGGCCAGTGTCCCCCTGGTGCCTTTATAGAAGGCAGGATGGATTGTAGTCTAATCCTTTCCACAGGATAGATTTAACCAGTTGATAAAAAGGATCATTGGGGTGCTGAGTACAATTCTATGCCTATCTCTGCAGGATTTCAGGGCAGTGTTTAACTCATTGTTCTTTTGAACAGGGGAGTCACCAGGTAAACTTAGTACTAGCCATAAACTTAGTAATAGCTCTTGCCTGTAGGCATTCCTTCAAGAGAAGTTTGAAGCATACTGTATTTCCCTACTTTTTACTTTTATTTCCCATTCCTGCCTCCTCAGATGTACAGACAACAGTCTTGTGTAAATTGCCTCATGTCTCCTCCCACAACCTGCACAAGAAAACCCCCAAATATGTCCCTGGATGGACATTCTTATTTCCACCTACAATTGCATTTTTTGGGGGGATCTGGTCATGGGGCCTGAACTCTGGGCCTGGGCGCTGTCCCTCAGCTCTTCAGCTCAAGGCTAGCACATTACCACTTGAGCCACAGCGCCACTTCCGGCTTTTTTCTTTTTGCTTATGTGGTGCTGAGGAATCGAACCCAGGGCCTCAAGCATGCAAGGCAAGTGCTCTACCACTGAGCCACCTTCCCAGCCCCTACAATTGCATTTTAATGTCTCTGCCTTCATCTGTGGCCTTCTAGTGTAACAGGATATATGTTCCTGTGGATGCATGTGCATGGTGTACCTAGTGCCTCCCTTCTTTCTCTTTCAGTTCTTCCACTCTCAACATCCTACCTCCTAGGACCCTGGCTTGCCCTGCTCTCTACACCCACCTAGAAATAAAGTCACCAACCTTGCAGTCTAATCCTGCCAGAGCCACCTTAACCCAGAAAAGAGACCTAAGTGGTTTAGTAGATGCCTATTGTTCCACTGGCTTCTGGAAGGAGAATCTCCCTCTGCCCCAGCCAGAGGAAAGATCAAGAGTAAAGTTAGAATCCAGATCAAAATTCTAGTGACGTACCGTACTGTAAGTGCAATCTCAGGCCGCTAAACTGCCCACCTCGTGTCAGGTTGGGCTGAAGTGTACCTCCAGCACACTGCAAGTGTGTGCAGAGGGAACGCAGCCTCTCCTGCACTGTCCAGACCTTGAGGAGGATAAAGTGAGGTGAGGCTCCAAAGAGCCGTGACGAGTACCTACACCTTTGTCTCAAGGTTCAGGACTTGGGAGGGGGAAGTCCCTATATCCAAATGACTCAACCCTGAGTACAGTGTTTCTCAAGAAGATCCATCCCTTAGTGTTGAACTCTCAAGATTTACCTGTGCCACAAAGCAGGGGCCACTGTGATGTCTCATCTTACCTCACCCATTTGGAACCTAATCAGCAAAATGACATTAACTGACTCTGTGTCATTCACTCTGGCCACAGATAATTTGCATTCTCCCAGGAGAAATATTTTAAAGGCTTATAGGGGCTCCCATACAAACTCCACTGCTTTTGCTTGGGTGTGGATAAAATCATATTCTTCTCCTTGCAGAAATTCCCAGAACTGAAATTCAAATATGTGGAAGAAGAGCAGCCTGAGGAGTTTTTCATCCCCTACGTCTGGTCTCTGGTCTACAATTCAGCTGTAGGCCTGTACTGGAATCCACAGGACATCCAGCTGTTCACGATGGACTCCGACTGAGGCAGCAGGTGCCCAGACCCACCCTCCAGCCAAATAGCCCTGCTAGATAGCTTCTTGCTAGGAAAGAGAAGCAAATACATTGCCCAGTGTGTCTTCAACTGGAGAGAATCACACAGCGTGTTCCCTCACACACTTCAACTTGGAGATTGGTACCAGTTGGCAGTAGATCACTCAGCTTAGAGTTTAGTGCAGCGGGGGAGGGGTGCACATAATAAATGTAAAAACTTGCTATTCGATAAGCACTTTTTATTTATTAACCAAAAATCTAGAGTTTTCCCAGGATCCTCATACCTTAGACATCAGGATAACATATCAATAGTACACAATTTTTATGCATGTCTAAGATTTTCCGATTTAAGGTTTTCTGTGTGTGTGTGCACGCGCACGGGCACGGGCACCTGCCTGCTTGCCTGTGTTTGCCTCTTTATCTTCTCTTTCAGAAAGGAAAAAATGGCTGTTTGTGGGGGGAGATTTGGCCCATGAGCTAAGACTGGAATTCAGTTGGAGTTGAGCACAAATTAAGTTATTCTGGATAATCATGGGGGAAAGCAAGACAATTCTGAAAGCAATCCTTTTTCTTCAGGCAAGCTCATAGGAGCAAAAAAGACTGGCTTATTAACACTTTATTCTGTATGAGATGAGAAAGGTGGTTTTCTCCTTATTCCTGAGTTTTAAAACATCACGTGAGACCCACTGTTTGGTCCCTGAGCAAGGAGGAGTTTCCCTGAAGGACACATGGCCACCCACCACTGGTTGCACTGAGCAGAGCCCATGAAAGCATCCTTTCAAATCACCTCCCACACACACACACCCATTGTCTCTCTGGCCAGCCCCTCCCCAGCCAGATGGATGAGGAACAGAGTTTCATTCCCAAAGATGCACAGTTTTCTGTATAGCAACTGTGTAATCCAGATGAGGCTGGGCAGCTAAGTAAAACTGCTGTCATTAGTCCATCAGAACCAGCCTTTCAGCCTGTCCTTGTGCCCTGGAACTCAGGGTAGAGCCATTTTAGCCTGCCATATCACCAGTTACCCTGTGTGTTGTAAATGCCATGGCTGGGCACAGTGGCTCACATGCTCAAGAGGTAGAGATTGAGGCATAGTTCAAGGTCAGACCAAACAAAAAGTTAGGGAGACCCCATCTCAACCAATAACTGGTCATGGTGTGCATATATGTCATTCTAGCTATGTGAAGTATAAATAAGAAGATTGGTGATGATCTAACTCAGCAAGGGCAGAATGTAAGCAGAAAGGATTGGGGTGTGGCTCAAGTAACAGCAGACACAAGGCCATGAGTTCAAACCCCATTGCATACCTGAGTGGTTTACCCACAGAAACGCGCACGTGGAGCTGTTTTCCTTGGGCTTTCAGGGTAGATTGACGGTTTCCTTATCCTCATCTGGAATAAAGGAAGAGAATCCTGAGGCCAGATGACTGTGGGAAGGCTCTTCCCTGGTGGGCTGGGTGCCCGGCAAGTGTCGCTTACCCACTGCCACCCCAGTGCTCAACCTGTCGAGCCCTCTCTGCCCCAGGAATGGCTGGTTCACCTGGAATCTCACCTACAGAGCTTCTTTCCTCTGCCTCAGCGTCTCAGTCCAGCTTTGGGGAGAGGTGATATGCAGGTAGAGTGACTTGATTATCATTTCAGGTAGCAGTTGTGCTTGCTTCTATGTGGGAAAATTATTTACAGCTTTAATCAGTTTCTAATGCATTACTGTCTTTAAAACAAAGAAACCCATTAAGGATCACGTGAAGCAGAGTCTGTGGTAGGACCACAGGGCTGTTTGCCTAGGGGACATCCCTAGTCTAGGGGCTGGGTAGGCCAGGGGACATCAGAGGGCTTCAAGGCTGTCAGTTCTTGTGCCAAGAGAAAATAAAAGTCCCCATAAGTCCAGTCATCTTGATGAGGGCTAAGAACCAAGAAACCCTGATGGAGAGATGCCGCACTCCCCTGGCTCAGCCCTTCCCTCTCACACTCCCTCCCTCCCCCACAGCAGCTCACGGGTCTATAAAGTTTCCAGCTGAGGTCCTACCAGCTCCTCCCACCATAACTGAGGCCTGCTGCCTATATCACTACCTCAGCTCTGCACAGCCACATGGCTTTCTTCCTGATTTGAGAGAGAGAAAGATACATTATGCAACCATACGTTTTAAGCAAAAAGCTTCAATTATACCTGTATTAATTCTTTAATTTTATTGTAAAGGTGATGTACAGAGGGGTTACAGTTATATAAGTCAGATTTTGAATACGTTTCTTTTTTGAACAATGTCACCTCTTTCCTCGTTTTCCCTCCAGATTCCCCAACCCCCCAAGTTGTATAGTTCATTTTCAACATAGTGTCTAATGAGTATCACTGCTGAATTAGTTCACTCTTTGTCCCACCATTCTGTGCTTCCCCTTCCCTTCCCCAAATCAGATAACTTACATACCAGACAAAAAGGGACATTGCCTCATTTGTAAGAAAATGGAAAGACTTAGAAAAAATTATATTAAGCAAAGCAAGCCAGACCTAAAGAAACATAGGCTGCATGTTTTCCCTCATTTATAAAAATGATAACGTGCCCATAAATTGCAAGTAAGCCCAATGGATAGTAAAAGACCAAAAAAACTACACTTGGACATGATAAATTAAACAGGACTCCATAAACATTCACACAGTGAGACCAAAGGAGGATATTCTTAGGAAAGGATCACAAGGGCTCAATAGCTATGTGCATATGACCATGTAAAATGATGCTTGCATTAATTCTGAGTATTAATTTGCTTAACTTTGTTTTACATGAAGTAAAAACTTATAAAATGAAGTAGCACAGGATCAGGCAGGAAGTTAACATCTGATTTGTACTCAAGATATGAAGCTGTTATTGCAGTATGTACAATGTAAAAGGTTCTATTACAGCATTGTTTTTTTTTCTAAATCTAGCAATTGGCATTTTATTTATCAAAGGTAAAATATAATGTCACCGTTTTAGGTAGGATCCTGTTCAAATATGATATTGAAACCAGAGTTGTAGGTCCTCAGCCCACCTCCAGGGGCTCCACAGCCGCTCCCCGCAACATGAGAAAGAAAGAGATAAGTAATAGAAAGAACAGAAGAAGGAGATTGATTACACAGCACAGGCATACCAGGGGAAGAGAAAAAGCAAGCACTTCTGTTCATCTTTGGGATACAAATACGAACCAATTACAGAGTAAAAGGATGAGACTAAGGACTGAGAGAGACGCCGAGTTTAACGTTCCAGCCACCTGATCGAATCTCATTTCAGTCCTGGTTTTAGGGAGGGGAAGTTGGGGAAGCTGGAGAAAGTATTATTGTCATCACTTGAGGGGAGCAATCTGGTCAGGAAAAGCCAGTCGTTGTTGCCTGGCTAGTGTAGTGGTCAGTAGTAGGGAGATTGTGAGGTTCCTTTACTTAGGGGAAGACTTCTCCATCTCTTCTTATCAGGATGGTACCTGCCAGTCCTGACTTTCCCTTCCAAGGTGATTACAGCATTGATTTTTAAAAGAATGTGCTCCAAGCCAGATGCCAGTGGCTTAAACCTGTAATCCTAACTACTCAGGAGGCTGAGTTGCAGAGGATTGAGGTATGCAACCAGACCAGGCAGAGAAGTCTGAGAGATTCCATCTCCAAATTCACCAGCAAAAAGAAAGCCTAGAGGTAGCTCAAATGGTAGAGGGCTAGTGATAAGCAAGTAAGCCGATCAATCAAGAGTACAAGGGCACTGGGTACCAGTAACTCAAGCCTTGTAATCCTAGCTACTCAAGAGGCTGATATCTGAGGATGGAAGTTCAAAGCCATCCTGGGCAGAAAAGTTCCTCTGAGACTCTTGTCTCCACTTAACCACTCAAAAACCACAAGTATCACTGTGGCTCCAAGTGGTAATAGCTCTGAGCAAAAGAGCTCAGGGTCAGTGCCTAGGCCCTGAGTTCAAGCCCCATGATTGGGGGGCAAAAAAAAAAAAAAGGTACAAGGCTCTGAGTTCAAGCCCTGATACCTGGGGGGAAATAAGAGTTTATAAAGCATAAAATATTATCTCATTGGAGTACAGCTATTCAGGGTCCCCCCTAAAGCAGATTCACTAGTAACTCTCACCCCTCTGATCTGACTAGACAGGAACATCAAGTGCCAGCTGTTCAGACATAGCCTCACGAAGTAGCAAAAGCCCCAGACGCTTCTATTCCATATAATTTCTTTCTCAGTTTGGAGCTTGGGAGGCCTCTGTGGAGACGCCAGTGCCTGACGAGGCCCCTTTCTGTGTCCTCATCCCACGGCGGAGAGGATAGGAGAGTCGTGGGCCTGAACTCTGGACCTGAGCTGTCCCTCAGCTCTTCAGCTCAAGGCTAGCACTCTACCACTTGAATCATAACACCACTTCTGGCTTTTTCTGCTTATGTGGTGCTGAGGAATCAAACCCAGGGCCTTGTGCATGTGAGGCAAGCACTCTTCCACTAAGCCACCTTCCCAGCCCCCCAAAATCATTTTTTAAGTCACTAAATGTGTCTGTGATGGCAGAACCTTCATGGTCTACACTCCTTAAAGGCCTCTTCATACTATTAAAGTGGACTGGGTGGGGGTGGGGGACAGTCAGTCATGGGGCTTGAACTCAGGGTGTGGGCACTGTCTCTAAGCTTTTTTGCTCAAGACTAGCACTCTACCACTTTGAGCCACAGTGCTATTTCTGGTTTTCTAGTAGTTAATTGGAGATAAGAGTCTCATGGACTCTCCTGTCTGGCTGGCTTTGAACTATGATCTTCAGATCTCAGCCTCCTAAGTAGCTAGGATTACAGGTATAGGCCACCAGTGCCTGGCCTACAGTGCAATTTTAATACCAGTTTTGGAGAGCACAAAGGCTAAAACCACAGCATAGCCCCATACACCTGGAAGAGCGATACTTCACAGTCCTATTGGCTCTGAGATGTTTTCAAGCATTCTGGTATAAGTGTTTTGGTCAGATTGTCAAGTTGTCCTCAGCTGGAGGGCCCATCTGAAGTGACTGTCTTAAGACTAAACCTTGGATAGTCAGCTGGAGTCCTACCCTACCACAGTGCTCGCATGTTCACTGAGATGGCACCAGAGCCCTGGCACCCAGTGTTACAGCATATGTAAAAGCTCAGGAAAGAGGGCACAGCTGCATACCTTGAGTGGTGTCCACACCTTTGCAATTAGAAGTACCCAGGTATGGGAGAAGAACAGAAAACACCAGGAGAAAAGAAAACAGACAACAGAAA